AAAGATCTTGCTGAGCTAAGATCATTCCAATTATTTTTAAGACAGAGATATGAGACTAAAATTTGAGAAGGGAGACCCGAGCACAGGCCTACATTCGCTTTGGTTGTGATTAGACTTGAACCTGGTTCTCCCAAATCTATTTGAGATGGGTATTTTCAGTTAGGCAACTGCCCAGAAAGCTAAGGAACCTTTAGTTGTAAAGAATCAGAAATTACAACTATTGGAGGACCTTGACTCCATTGTAAGAAATTGTAATACATTTGCATGTTTTCCCATCTTCTCCCTTGCCAGAAAAAGTGGTCTGAGTTAAGTTAGAACTGGGTCAGAAGTATGGCATTTCGGCCCAAATATGGCAAATATGTAAAAAAAAATGGGCAAGAGGGGAGGAAATATGTTGTATTTTAGCAATCCTAAGTGGTATGCAACACCTTCAAAAGTGTTCCATGTTTGTGCCTGTTAGAACAGCATCAAAGCTACGGTAATTACTGTTGAAAGCAAAGAAAAGGAAAAAAACCCAAACCCAAGGAAACAGAAAACTTTATTGATGGTGTATTCTCTTTGTCTTATTTTAAAATGTATTTCTTTGGAGAGGCAGCACCTCTCCTAAGTTTGGTGTGCAATGTCAGTTGTGGAATATGAATTCTGTTGAGGCCGGAGATGTGTTTTTCACACTTGAACATGTTATTGCAGTTGAATGTGAGATTTTTAAAACGGGACATGTTCCTTTTAAAATCTACAAGACTCATAACATTTTTCTTCTTACTTTGGCTCTGTTTTCTCTGTGAGCACCTTGAAAAAGACAGCTGAGGATATTCACCTGACTGACCTGAAATAGGCATGATGGGCGAATAATGTCATTAGTATTTTCCTCTGCCTTTTCTTTTCAACAGTTCCATGAACAATGAATTTCTCCTGGTCAAAGTATTGCCATTTCTGTCATCAAAAAGTAACTTGTGTGCTATCTATCTTAGACTTTCTTCCAGAGAATGACAGGTAATTTCACTAGCATCATTTCAGTGACAGTTCCTGCTTTAATCACACAACTCCTATAGTGATGATTCACCTTTTTCATAAAATTTGCATTCACTGAATAGTATTGCACAATATAAAAACAGCTATTGTATATATTCTCAAGTAGTATGATTTCTGTATGAACTGGAGAAAGGTAAGCTAAATATTCAATAACCAATTATTTTGAAGTATGTGTAGCAAGCAAATAGTATTTAAAAGGATGCTATCAAGAAATACATGTTTTAAATTGACTGAGGTATATGATTTATGTTATTCAATCTGAAAACCTGGTTCAGCATAAAATCGTAGTAGTGGAAGGATTCTCTCTAAAACAATAGCTGTAATGCATGACTAGGAAAAATCAGAACAATGTGGACATGGACAATAAGCATAATTTAGAATTTGACTGTGGGGACAAGAAACGGCTTGTGATATCCCCTATTGTGATGGTATACAACAAGCCAAAACATTATTATGTTTGGGGTGTGTTGTTCTAAATGTTTCTAAGGGATAGTTTCTATCTTTGCTAGCAGAATAAACAGTTATTTAGAATTAAACATTTAAACTAATACAAAAGCATGTATTTGTATGTTCAATGGGAATCAGAGGTTAAATTAAGCAATTGCGACATTTCTAGAGTATAACATATCTTTTTATTCAAAGCATTTAAAGCATGCATGCTCTAGTGAAAATATGCAGTTAGCATAAAAGTGTAGTAGGGAAAATCAAGCCCCTCTTTCTCTTCTGCAGCACCCAGTGTAACTCAAATGTGCACTAGTAGGCCATACACTTTCCACTGCTAAGGAGTCTTTTGCTGAAGTCACTGAGTAACTTTTAAGACATTGCTACATTATATTGTTTTTCTACCATGACCATATATCGTCTATGAATACAGATTAAAAAATTTTACACAGCATATTCATCTTTTTGTGTGGCTAAACTAATTAGAATTAATAACAGTTTTCTTTCTGTGTCTCACTTTGTCTGTAAGGTCTTTGAAGTAGAGCTTCCTGTTACATGTATGTGTACAGCATCTGATAGAAGTAGATTCATTTTTCACAGGCATCTA